TCCTGCCTCAGCCTCTGGGATTCTGGGATTACAGGTGTGCACCACCATGCCCGGCCTTACCCCATTCTCTAATACCTACTGTTCTCCTAAGTACTGCATGAAGGTAAGGGGACTCCAATAATGACTGAGATTGAACTTTTTGGCAACTAGAGAAAAGAGAGACTTGAGATAGACTTAAGTTGACATCAAGAAAACAAAGATTGTAAAACTTTTTGGACACATGGATTTTGTGTATCAAATAGAATCTGCTCCATGTGTAAGTATTTGGAATAAAAGGCAGAATATAACAGGAACTGAGGGCTATAGTGCCTCTTCGATAAATTATGATTTCTTTTAGAGTATGGTGGTCTCTTCTCCACACCTTTTCCTAGCTGAACAGAGGGATATTTAACTAGTGAACACAGTTAAATAGAGAAGAGGCTTTCTTCCACTTCATAATGAGAAGCACAGTAGCAAATAACCGCACATGTAGTAAATATTTACATGTCACTGGAATGTTATTAAAGCATTGTATATTAATTCCTTCTATTTTCTGTAGTCGTATGTCACATTTGAACATAGCCTACAATCCTTTGTGCCTAAACTCTGGATAATGGAGGCCGAACACACTGCTGTTGTCATGGCGGCGCCCGGGGCACAGATCAGCTCGTTCTACCCTTGACTCACTGGCGTCTTTCCTAGCTAGCATTTTCCCTCTTGTTGTACCATAGGCATGGCACAGGCCTCTGCACAATTTCTAGTGTCTCTTTTATCAAAAAGAAAGAAACAAAGAAAAAGAAAGAAAGAAAGAAAGAAAGAAAGAAAGAAAGAAAGAAAGAAAGAAAAAAGAAGAGTTCTTTAGGCGTCGAGACCTTTCTACGTGTCATCTGCATTTCCCGGATTCTAGAGCCCTTGAGGAGAACAGATGTTCAGTGTTCTGGACTTCAGTGTGTCTTGCAGTCCATGTTAAGTCTCTTGATTTCCAGAGACTCTGCTTCTACATTTGTTATTGTATATGGGCGTGTTTAGTATGTCATGGAAGATATTTTTATATCTAATTGCCAATTCACATTTTATTTACAGTAGGCAAAATTTTAATTTGTTTCTATTTCCAGTAGGCTTCTAAAACCTTTTAAAGATAAGATAATTCAGCAAAAACTAAACTTTTTTTTAATGTGAAGATTGACTATTGCAGGATGAGCAATGGATTTTAAAACAATAGAAATTGTCGCACACTTTGTGTCTGGGTTGGGAAATATTTGAAGTGTCCAGAGATTTGTGTCACCATTTTATGTGCTGAGAGGTTTTATGTGAGAATGGCATACCTATCAAAAGTTTCTAGCTTATCTTTTCTCTTAATTTTTTTATTAAAATGTTCAATACTTAGTAGAAATATATAGAAATGTACAAAGAAAACCTGATAAGTCTCCACCCTGCTAATTATTTCCACTCCTTATTGTTTCTTAAAGGATTCTTGTCCACTTTCTTTCATACTTATGCAGGATGTACATAAATAATCCTTTTTTGCGCACGTAGTAAGACACCTGTTTCAGGGCTCCCTGCCACAGATTCACCCTGCTGCACCCGTGTCCCCAGCTCTCTTACCATGTTGTGCATGTTATTCTGCGGTAGCCTGGCCTCGTCTCACTCTGTGAACAGACGCCCTCGGGTTTCTGGAATATACTTTACTTGCACACGCAGGAAGCCCAGGGACACGCCCTCAAACTTACGCCTCCAACTCCAGCCCTCATATCAATGACTGACAAATATTTAAAGAGTACAGTTCTACTTATTGTTCCCCACATCAGCGTAATGCAGTCGTGCCAGGTAACTTTGTGGCTTAGTCTTGTTTTTGATACCAAACATAATTCTGTGTACTTACTACATATTTACCAAAAGTAGGGTTTCTGCGTGAAAGTTGAGTCCACTTAAGTGAGGCAAAGCTTTGCTCTACAATAGTGAAATAAAATGTGGAACTAGATATATGAAGAGGGACTTACTGGAGGAAACAGGCAAAATAATTTTGGTTCTTTCTTTTGACAAGAATTTACTGATCCCTTATAATATACAGGATCTTTGTAGGCTTAGCATTCAGTAGAGAGCAAGATGGAATGGCCCCTGCTGCCACGAAGCTGGGGGTGGACAAGATGTTTATTTATTTCTTTATTTGGTGGCACGCTGTATCGAGGATTGAACCAGGGTCCTTGCGCTTGCCAGGCAGGCGCTCAGACCATGGAGCTATCTTCCTAGCCCCACAAGGAATGAGATCTTAAGCAATAATCTCAAAGGTGAACCTTGGCATGTTGGATAAGTGCTCCATAGAGCACATAGAGAGTACTCTGCAAGGATACAACCAAGAGCCTAACTTTATTTTATTTATTTTTTTAAATTTTCTGGTATTTTATTAATATAAACTAA